ATTAAAGTAAAATAGACATTATGCCGCTAATGATCTGTGAGTTAAAAAATTATTTGATGTGATATAAAATATATTTAGATACAAATGCAAAATTTAAAATGATTTACTTAATTGTAAAATAACCAATACTCATATAAATTTAATTGTATTAAATAATCATATAAAAAGAAGGGAAAAAACGGTGAGATGGAGAAAGAAAAAAATTAATATTTAAAAATAAGAATTTTGTCAAATCAAGACAATGATTAAATAAAATAAAATAGATATTGTGTTGATAATGACCCGTGAGATAAATAATTTTTGGCTTAAATGCACTTTTGATTCCCCTATTTTCAAATATTAGTCCTCCATAAACTTTACCTCACTTAATATTTTGTTGGTCTCCCTCTAGTTTTACATATGTGGCGCTCTTATTAATGACATGACACTACTACAGTAACTTTGCGTCAGATTTTATGTCACTTTCATTAAAAATAATTATTTTTTATTTTATAAATTATCAACAACTTTTTAAATTCTATTTTATTATAATATTTAGGTAATTTAAATATAAATATTATTGGGGAAAAATTCAAGAACAAAAGCCCATTTACTACAATACAATCTCTCTCCAACCCAGAAATACTTAACATGTCATGTTTCTTAAACTTATATGAAGACTAAACAAATTTGTAGAAAAAACGATGTGAGACTAAATATTCCATCGTTCTTTTTGTTTCATCAAGAACAACACATGATCACCTATGTTTATAAGAAAATTCCTACAATGTGTGTTCATTTGTCAGAAAAAGCATGATAGAGAAATCCTTAAACAATTATTAGCTACTCGTTGCTTCCATTTTTTTCCATCTCAATATCATTTCTTCAATTGTATAATTTTTCTTCTACAATTTATTTTGTTGTTGAAGTAGAGTTCATGCTCGAGCGTTGCCTTAGCCATTCAAATTTTCTAGGCAAGAACAATATTTCAAGTTTTTTTTTTCCGGGAAAGTGTCTCTGTTTACCGTGAAATTTGATAAACAACCGCTAGTCTTCCAAAAAACAAAGATAATGTCTGATTACTCGCAGAATCAACTAGATTGATTCTAGAACATGTGTCGAATATGATTTTTATTTTAGTATTTCTGAGTATTTATTCTATGTCAAAAAGATAAGTAAGACTAAGGTAAAAATAAGGATAAAGGCTTGAAGATAAAGGTAAAAGGATTTATAGTAAAAAAATGGAAATGTAAAGGATTCGGCTGAAAAGTTAAGTGAAAATAAAAGATTTGATTTAATGTAAATGACTTTAAATATAAAAATGGTGTTTCTATACGTACATTCTCAATGACTCTTTTCTCTAACACTAATACTTCGAGTTTGTATGAGTAATTTGTACCAAGTGAACACCCTAAATCCTAATACAAAGATCCATATTTATATTGATTCGACCCTAACGGTCTTTCCCTACAAAAGTGTCTTGTTCGAGTCTTGCATGCCTCTTCGAATCGTCAGGCTTCCACACGTCCTTTTGGATAACATCAAACCATTTGAATTCAAATCCTTGTCTAATTCGAAGCGCAAAAACAACATCATGTGTCAAAATGATTTAAATTTCAAATCTTCATATTTCTTAAGTTCCATATATTCTGCAACATAAGGATTTTTGTGATTTATTTAATGTAGCCCAAATTATCTATAGTTTGGTCAGTTAAAGACCACATAAAGACAATTCTCATATTCTCTTTTGAAGCTCAATTTCTTTCAATTTCTTCATTCTCCTCAATGTCATATATCGTCAAAATTCTCAGCTAACAAATTACCCCACAAAAATGTGTATTTCGAATTACTTGGAGAAATAGGCATTTTTTTGCAAAACCTTCCATTTCGATGCAAAAGTTGCTTCATGATAACTATTATTGTCGTGACATCATGGTCATAATGACCATCTTTCCAAACATCCCATCGAGACGTGCGTAATTTAGTTTCCATCATTTCTATACTTAAAGTAGGTTCAAAACGTGGTTTCCCAAAAAAAAATAACCACTTGATCAGCTTATTAAACACCAACACGTGTTCCATTATCTTTTTCATTTGAAAAACGAAACTGAACTGTTTGTCCCCTATAAATACTCCTTTCATCTTCAAAGATACCTTTTTCACTCTCATTTACTTTCATCTCTTCAGAAGAACTGTGAACCTCTTTCATCTTCTTCCTCCGAAAATCAACATCCACCTTCAAGCTTTTCATCAATGGCGACAACAAAGAAGAGTAACAAATCAGGAAAACATGCAAAGAACATTAAGAATGATGCCTTCATTCCTATTCAACATGCCTTCAAACCCATTCCTTCTGGAAATCAAGAGTTTGTTCCATCGCCAACACTCTCCGTTGAACAACAAGCTATCTATGCATCCTAGGTAATAATTCCTTTTACTCTTACTGACAAAATCCTAGGATATATGGGCCCTATAGTCCATGTTGATGATCTGAAAAAACCTAGAGAATTTTCCCCCACATATCATGGAACTTATCCATAGCGATTAATATTAAGGTAAAAAAGAACGTAGTTGAAAATGCTGACACAAACTCTAAGGAATCTGTTGTAGAAATTGTTCAAGAAGAATCTCTTTCAGATTCTGCAAATGCAGACAACCATTTTCATTTGAGCTATATGACTGAAGCTTTTAGGCCCTTTAGATCTTGTCCAAGGAAAGATAAGTAATATCTCGACTAGTTAGCTAAAGTCGAACTGAAGAAATCCCAAGTCTGAAAAGACATAGGTATTTTCGACTTAATTCAACTGTCAAAAGTTGGAACAAGCTATTACCAACACATATTAATGGCATCCTTGTATTTTTGGGATGGTACTTATAATATCTTTCACCTTTCTTGTGAAATGGTCACCCTTACTTTGTTTGATATTGTTGTTGTAAATGGACTTCGACCCACTGGAGAAACCTTCGACCCCTTCGAGCAAGCGAAAAACACCATTGACTTCAAAGTCGAACACGCTGACTTTACCAAATACATTGACCATTACCATCCTGAAGGAAATGAAGTGTCGAATGTCGAACATATAGATTTTCTCGCCTTATGGCTATCTAGGTGTATCTTCTGCAGTAAATCTTTGCAAGTAGCTAAGAGATTTCTGACTTTAGCTAATCAACTTCACTCTGGTCGAAACATATGCCTTAGTGAATTGATCTTAGAGGGATTATATGAATGTCTTAGGGAAGCTACTACATCCCTAAAAAAGTATCAAGTAGGCACCAATTTACTATTGGCTGACCCATATTGGCTTCTCTAATTGTGGCTTAATGTCATGTTTGAACCCTCTCTATCCACCTCTGGAAAAATAGATGAAATGGACCTTGAGATTCATAGTCGAACTATCGAGAGAACCAGATTAGTTTGAATGACCCGAAACGATGATGGGAAGGACTTAGATGAGTGTTTCACAAAGTATGTTATGATGTTTGTCAAATGTTATAACTTTACTCCTACAATAGCTCCCTTTGCTAAGAGAACTCATGGTCCCGAATGGTTTACCAGATCTTTCTCCGACCTTTCGCCAACTCAGGAGGCATAAACCTTAGACATCTGGAAAGCCTTTCTGCTTCTAAGGCAGATTGTCACAAGATTGTTGCTCGTAAAAAGTCACATCAGTTTACTTGTCTACCAATCCAATTTTGTCTCTCGTTTTTGTTAAACATGTTAGCTTATTCAATATGTCAACAAACTAGTTATTTCTTAGACGTCTGACCATGAAGTTTGTATTTTTTTACATTGTATAATTCCATATTGTTTTTTGTATAAATCTTTTTGGTGTATATATTGATTAAACAAACTCACTAACTAAAATGGTTATGGACCGGAGTGAAGTGACTTTGCAAAGGATGAACTAAAAGCCAAAAAAAATTCATTTTAAATGTATGAAATAATTAAATTAAATTAAATTTAGAAAATCTCAAATTAAAAAAATAATAATAAAAAAAAATTAATTATCCTAATCAATATTGTCAAGTCATTATAAATAATTTTATTATCTTTACCATCATGCCACGTATGTAAAATTAAAAGGAGACCAACAAAATCTCGAGTGATGTAAATTTTATGGACTAAAAAAATGACTTTTAAAATAGAAATTAAAATTTAAAAAATTTGAAAATAGAGGGATTAAAAGTGCATTTAAGCCATAAACTTTTAATTTTATTTAAAAAAATAAATTTTTATTATTTTTAATATAATAAATAAATAGAGAAAAATTAGAATGAAAGTGAGAAAGTGTTGGAAAAAATGTAAAATAGATTTAAAATTTTAGTCAAGAGAGAGAATGAGTATATATAATATTAAATTGTATTTTAGTTGATTAATATTGAAAAATGAATACCACATGTTATATTATAATGTGAGATGAAAATAAAATAAATAAATATTATTTAATAAGTGTAATAGATATACACTGATAGTATAAATTAGATTTATACAGTTATCTGATAAAATGTCAATAAATCAAATTATTAAATTATTTTTAAATTTTAAGTGTGACATGTTATTTAACATAGTTGTGATCGGTACACTATAAATGCATATTCATTTTTCTCTTATTTAACTGCTTAAATATATATATTTTTACTTAAATATATATTTTTTAGTATAAAGCTTTTTAATAGATAGTAGAAGAGTGTTCTTTGACAATTGTTAGCCTGCTATAGCCCACGAAGCAGGGGCAAGCAAGAGTTTTAATTATATATAAAAAAATTATAAAAAAAAAGAAAAGCAAATAAAGGCAAATTTTAGAATATTGACTTGTTTATATATTAGATCAACAAAGCTGAGACAAACACGTTCAGTGTTTCTTCCGGTGGTGCGCCATTCAAGAGAAAGAGACACTCAGAGAAGTTAGTAATTAATTTGGAATTCTCTTGCTGCTCCACTCCTCCCATTTTATAAATCACACCCCCTAACTCTATCAACATAGCATCATAGCTATTAACAAGAGTTCAATTCTGTTTCAATGTCTTCTGATATCTATACTTTTGATATTTCTTTCAACCTCCCAAATATAATCACTTATGATCCTTTCAATTTCATTGATGTAGTTGATGAGGATTTCAACAATTCTCCATACCCTTTTTCTTTCTCTTCCTCAACTACAAATAACCACGTGGTACCCCTAACAAATGGCCTATTTACAAACACTGACCTTGAAGATTATCAGATTCATAATAATAACACACTCATGGATTCCTCAAATTTTCAATGGCGTGAATTGAACTCCTCTGAAAATAGTTTCTTCACCGGACAAATAACAAGGGCAAACAGTGCAGGCGATTCTCAAACGGAGGAAGCAAAGTTGTTGAAAGTAGGGCGTTACAGTGTAGAAGAAAGAAAACAAAAAATCTCGAAATACAGAGCTAAGAGAAAACAGAGGAAGTTCAACAAAATTATTAAGGTAAATTTAACGTTAATTCATTAAAGATTTCGCAAAGAATTTTTTTTTTTGGGTTCTAAATATGGGTGGTTTGTTTTTGGTACTACTACAGTATGAATGTCGAAAGACACTAGCCGACAATAGAACACGCATACGTGGCAGATTCGCACGTAACGACGAAACCTGTAAGATTCCAAAAATTCCATCTTCAAAAACAGAAGAATATGAAGATGAATTATGGGTAATTGCGATTTTATAAATTCAATCTTAAATTTTTCATTATTAATTAATTTATTAATATGGTGTTGATAACTTGATATTCTGAATTTTTATTTAGGTTGATCTGATTGAAGGATTAAATGAAAATCACACAGCATGTTTTTATTTAAGCTGATATGAATGAAGGGTCAAACCATGTGAAGTGATCTAATAGGCACTTGACTAGAGATTATGTTGCTCAAAATATTTTAACAAGTGTATCAAATATCATTTATTATTAGTGAAAGTAAAGATAGTTTTAATAATAGACTATATATAATAATTTGATAGAGTGCTATTAATAATTGAAATTTGTTGTAAATTTTTTAAATTTATATTTGATATCAGTGAATCTGATTCTTAATTTATTTGTCAAACAAATTTGTTTGTTTTAACGTTGATGATTGATAAAATTTGATTAACATTAAAATTAAAAAGAAAATAATTTTCAAAGTTGAATTATCAGTTAATAAACTGAAACTATGACTTCAAATGAAACCCCTCCTCTATAACCATGACAACATAATCTAAAGGTCCATATGGATCTGATGTTGACTAAGAAACTCCACTTTGATCGGGCAGGGAACATCTCCCGTGACATTTTGATGCAGTGAAATTCATGTTATTTATTTTTTTCATTTTATATTAATTAGGTCATTAGAATGAAGTATTAATGAAAGAGATGGGTACTTGACACCATCCAGTAAAATTGTCAATGGAGAGAATCCTGATCCACTTTGATAAGATATAAGAGTAAATGTGAATTTGAATTTGATTTTATTTTCGATTTATAATATAATAAGGTACAATTTCGTGAATCCAATTCAATTTGTAGTTGTGTCGGCACATTAGATACATTAGTGCTAGAGCAGATAAAATAGGTTGACCCGAAAGTCCATAAAAAAATTAAGATTTAAACAAAAAAAATTAGAGTTTGTTTATTATATGACTATTAAATCTTACTCGTTAAAGGTTTGATGTTAACCGGACTATTCCAACCGAATTACGGGTAATTTGTTCATTTATCTAATTTTTATTATAAAACTTCTAATACAACATATTACTAATATCTATATTATTTTTTAACGAATATACCATTTCAACTGTTTATTGATATATGTTAAATGCATAATATAGTTGTATGTAGTTCACAAAAAAGTTCAATCAAGATAATATATATATATATATATATATATATATATATATATATATATATATATATATATATATATATATATATATATATATATATATATATATATATATATATATATATATATATATATATATATATATATATATATATATATATATATATATATATATATATATATATATATATATATATATATATATATATATATATATATATATATCTTATCGGTGATCATAATTTGTAAAGGACCAATATTTATATATGTAAGGCTGGAATCAAAGAAGAAGGGGTGTACTTCCAAGACACTTTGATGTTCAGGTAGGTAAGAGTGCAAAGAGATACAAGAGAGAATATAGGGTTTTAGAAGTGAATATTGAATATCCGATCCTCCCAAGTGTGAGGATTTATATAATACCCCCGGCGTTTGACCACTGGTCTCTATTTTTGGGTTTGGATATCAGGCCTTCAAAAATAGGTAACTGTCAGGAGCGGGCAGATCGTGCTCAACATCCTGGGGAGATGCTTGAAACTAGTCGTTATGGTGGGCTGAGATGTTTGGAACTAGCCGTTGTCACGAGCATGGATGCAGTTGCAGACATGCATGGTCTTGTCGTCTTTGGGCCAGGCGGCCAAGTGACCAAGTCTGTCGGGCAGAGTGAAAAATGTGCCTTTCGCTAGCTCAAGCTGATTGGGGCAATGAATTTGGGTCGTTCTGGAGCAGGAGTGGATTGGACCGTGCCTAGTCGTTGGCCCAGTCCATAACAGGATCCCCCTAAGTCGTTGCTTCTAGGCATAGGAGCAATGACTTAGATTCATCACGAGTGTCGAGGAGGAGAATGCTTTGTTGGTTCCCCTTGTTCGGGACGAGGATGTTTTGAGATTTCCCTGGGGACGTGCTCGTAGGAGGAAAATTCGTCTTATGTGCTCGACGTATGGGGAGTCAAACAGCTGGTGGAATTTTGTAAGAGGTGTCGTATCACGCCTGCCTAGAGCCATGTGTTGCATTAAATGTGTAATGATGTCTAGGGGGCTAGGGTTAATGATGACCCTTGACGATCATGTTTCCCTATGCGTGCTAGTGACTAGAATTTGTCTATAAATAAGAGAAAAGGGATTTATTTTCAAAGTTTCCCATTTTTCGTCTTCGTTCTCCTGCCTTCTCTCTGTTTTCTGCTCATCTTCGTCTCCGCCTATTTCCGTATCAAAATCGTCTCCTTCCTCTGCCTTAACCTTATTTTAGGTAAGCTTTCTCTTTCTAGCTTTACATTTAGCTTTAACTTCAACTGCTGGTTTTACAAATGTATGTTGCTAGGTGAGACTGTGTAGGCCCCACCACAGCGGTGGTTGGTGTCTGATGGTGGCGAACTCATCTTTGGATGTCGGTGCTGAGAGAGTGAGTGACGTTAAGCTAGGGTTTTTATGTTCAGGGAGGTTTGGCATCGTTGCTACGGCGAGGAATGATTCTGCTGGAAGCAAGACCTATGAGTTTCTCGATGGATTCAACCGCTTTTTTGGTTCGTATGAATTTTTCGATGAACCTTATGAATTTTCCGATGAGCTTAATGTGGCTTCAAAGTCCAGTCGTTGGGGAGAATCTTCCCTGTCAGAGCTCTAGGTTATGTCGGTCGAGGAGGTTAGATCTCTCTGTCGGGAAATATTTCTTCATTCTCGTTGTTATCGAGTAAGAGATTTGGTCGAGGGTAATGTCCTTGTGCCTTTCCACGCCCTTTCACTTGATTAGTGGTGAAAATATGGATTTGATTTGATTGTCGAATTCACTTTTGTCTTCTGCTTTTCAGGTAAAAGATGACTAATTCCTCCGAGGAAGAACATCTGTACGACACAAAAGAAGTTTCTGAGGAAGAATGGGTTGCTCCGGAACCCAGGGAGATAGCCTCGTATTTCATTGACTTCCTTGATGAAGCGTTTATTATTGTGTCCGAGGTAGAGGATCCATCAGAGCCTGAGACGGGATGAGCGGTCGACTTTCCCATGGGAGACGAGCAGATTTGCTCGACCTTCGAGGATGATCAGTTCCCTATGTACAAATTTATCTTTAAGGAATTAGGACTTTGGCTGCCCTTCACTGATATTTAGTTGGACGTCTTCAACCATCTAGACCTAGCCCCTTCCCAACTACATCTGAACTCGATAACCTTTCTTCGGGCGTTTAAGATCGTGTGCCAGTATCTCTAGATCGGAGTCATAATTACTTTATTCTTCTACTGCTTCCATCTCTAACGCTAAACTTTGCGGGAGCAATACGGTTGGATCTCGTTGAAGCAACTGAAGTTGTTCAGGGTGTTCTTGGACTCTGTTCGGGCGTTCAAAGATAGGTGTTGTACCCCAAAATTTTCCCTCCCATTTTCTTCAAGATATCTCCTTATACTCCTAGGATTTTCAATTGCTCAAGGCTATTCAAGGTTTGATCATACAAATTATCCTCATAAGCAGTGACCTACAATTAGGGTTTTTGTTTTCTCAAGGAAATTGGAGCTTCTAATGCCTCAAGTGGATTTCATGGTTCCTCATATGTCTCAAGGAATGCTCGTGCCAAATTTTAAGTCTTGCATCACAAGTTTGCTCAGTCTATTTCTCATATAACTAAACATTAACTATATTGGACAAAAAGTCAATTGTGATCAACATACAGTCAAACTTCAAGATTTTTGGTCAACGTCAAAGGTTGATCATGATTCATGAAGAAAACTCAAGATTTACCAAAAGTCAAAAGTTACTAAATTAGGGTTTTATTAAGGAGAAGTCAATTGAACTTTGACCAGACATAACTTCCACATGCTTCATCAGACTTTTTTCAACCAAAGATCATTTTAAAGGAAATTTAATTCTCTACAACTTTGTCTCTCTAAGCTCAAGTCCAAAAAATGCTTCATTTGAGAGATATGAGTCAATACATTATAGGTCATTTCAAAAGTCAACAAAAAGACACTTTTTGTCAAGGTAACTTACATCAAGATAAAGTCTTCAAATGAAAAAAATGATCAACATAGATATTGTATATGACATCTTGACCTTTTCAAAAAGTCAAATATCACCTTCATATGATAAAAATTGAGAGAGTTATGATTGGTGCAAATTGGGAAATTTTGAGAAAATGCATGAAACCTAAATTGAGCAAACTTGAATTTTTGGGCTAGTGGGCTTATGTTTCAAGGTCCAAACTAGTTTTAAACTTCATAGTGAACCTCAGAATCAATTCATACACCCCTTTGATTTTTATTTCATTTATTATTTATTTATTTATTTAAATTTAAAATTAAATTGAATAAGATCAAGGCTTTCATACAAAGGTCCAAGCCCAATCTTTTTGACCAAATTCACAACCTATTATACTCCTCATTCATACATGACAAGATCACGAAAAATATTGCAAGATCACCTTCCAAAAACTATAATAAAAAAATTCAAAACTAGGGCAAATTACAAACCCTATTTGCAGCCACTCTCCAAGCAAGCCAATCATTCCCATCGATCCCTGAAGCATTGTAGGGTAAGAATGGATCAATTTTAAGGATCCAAAGGGCTTAAATCACAGACCGTGCATCTCCATTTTTCCATTCTTGCATGAGATTTATATTTTTGTTTTCTTTATGCTTTAATCAAAATTAACAGTACTAACATTCTTCTGAGATGTCAATATGCAGGATAGATCCATCGCATGGCCCTCATAATGGTTGAATCGTGTATTTCCATGTTTGACCTGTTTCATTTTATTTACATTATATCTCTTTGTACAGAGGGAATTATCCAAAACCAATGCCTTCATTGAATTCGTAAGACCCAAATTAGGGGGTAGGGTACCACCGAGTCACTAAAGTTTGCTATTTAGCAGGAATAAAAAAACATGCTCATCAGAGAAGACGAATGGAGCTAGGGCTCCAGCGTCTCTCCGGCCCAGTAATTAAGTTTATTACTTATTTAATTGTTTCCATTTATGTACCAGATGAATAACATAGCCC